CTCTGAAGCATATTTTGGTTGGTCACTCAAGTGTGGAGAGGTAACAGATACCTCTTTGGGTTGTGACGAGTCCTTGGGTGATTGGACTCTTATTTTAAAACCACCATCCTTTTGAGAGGATGTTGGAGTAAGTTGTGGTTCCCGGGTAGTGCATTCGACAAAGGACAGAAGAATGTCCTTTGCGAGGTTAGCTTGGGTTAGGCTCAGTGTGTGCACGCTTTGTTCAATGGGGGATCCCTCTAGAACAGGGTCCCTAGAAATGTGGGTCGCACTGGAGGGGGGCTAGGATATGTGCCTTGGGCATCTTTTTCTCCCTCTCCTATCTCCACCTCTTCTTTTTCGTCGTCTAAAATGACCTCTGTCCCCAAATCAGCTACTTTCGTAGGCGCTTTAAACTCCTATTGAATTTGGAAGATAACATCTTGTATCTGCTCTGTTGGGGACTCTTCATGAACCACCTTGCACAACCTTCTGCGCTTTGGAGTAGCCTCTGCAGGGCTCTTTTGAATTGCAGCCTCTGTGACCACAACCTCTGCGGGTTGGGCCTTCTTTGATTTCTTTTTCTTAGGCTTTTGCAGAGGACTACTTGGACCCTCTTCTTCTGCAGGTCTCTTCTTCCCTTCCTTTTTCACAGAAGAATCAACACCCTTCTGTGTCTTCTTTGGCTTCTTTGGTGGGGGACTTGCTACTCTAGGTCTTTCCTTACTCACCTGTCTAGCCTCTGCTGGCTCCTCCTGTCTTCCATCGACCCTCATTTTTCAACTCTCTCTCCTAAAGGGATTCCTATGCGTGGAGGGGTTTCAGGGACCGGCTCTGGCCTCCTGAATCCACGTTTGTATGATTTCCTATCTTCATGACTAAGGTATTTGAGCATGGCTTTAGATAGAGGTCTGGGGCTTCTGTACCCTAGCTCATGCTTTGTCGGGTGGAATTCCTTCAAAGGATACAATCTGGTGTTAGGCTCGGCAGAGGGCAGCTTCTCTGCAATCAAATCCCCAAAGACTAGGCCAAAGAACCTCTGTAGAATAAGGTTTGGATGATTGAGGCCCTCTTTGGCCTTCTTCTGCGCCTTCACTTTTGACTTTTCACCCCTCTGTGTGGCGCACTTCTTCTTGATCAAACCCACCATGTCTTCGAAGATGAGTTGTGCGTAGTCGAGGGGCAGGTTGAAAAATATTCCATACACAATGGAAAGCATTGCGTGAGAGGTCTGGTCATGGCTGCCGACCTTCCCTATTAGACAACAGTTCACGATTGAGAATAGAGTATTCCAGATTGGGGGTAGACCTTTTCGTTTGAACTGAGTCCTCTTAACGATTTTTGTTTTGGCGGCATAAGAATGTAATTCAAGAAATTGAATTAATTCATCGTCTATTGGGGTTGGGGCGTAAGCATCCAAATTTAGAGATTCCAAGGTGGGTAGGCGGAGGGCTGTTCGAAGAGTATTCACGTTTAGTTCCATAGTTACAAGGGATTTGTTGATTGGGTGAGAAGCATAACCAACGATGCTTAGTCCAGTGTTGTCTAGGGTAGTTATGTAAGAGCTTAACAGGAATTGGGTGATGTAAGATTCAGGTGTAGGTTTGGTGGCTGAAAGGGCATAAAAAAATGGTGATTTCGAAGAATTTCAAAAAGGGGGAAGGTGAATTCAGGGAAACCTGTTGAAGACGGAACGAAGTAGTAATTATTGGTTTCTTTACCAGGACGACTTTTTCGTATCTATTTTGAACAAATGATAGAGCCTGAGACGTTAATGCTTGGGCTTGGGTTACTTCGTTGTCGCTTGAGACGTTAGCAGATTGAGCAGAGGCTGAAGATGAAGACATAGTTGCAGGTTTGTTTGAAAGCTCGAAGGTTGCAGGTTCGTCTGAGAAGAGGGATATTGTAAAGGTTTACGTTTTGGGGGGAAGGGGTATTTATAGTGAGGAATTTGAACTGAACCGTTTGTTGGGAGAAATAACGTGATAAGTGGCTATAGGGTGTGACGAATAAAAAATATGACATGCGGTGTTGGGAAGACGCACGATTGATGACGTGCGCCCCCGATTCTGACACGCRCGTGATTAGCTTTAACCCTTATCCACAGAACCACGCGCACCATATCAATAGACAAGAACTATTAAGAGAGTTCTGCCAGAGGCCTAAGGGTAACATAGCCTCTGTGATATGTGCTGGGTCTTCTAATATGTTACACCTTTATTTACCTAAATGGTTTGAAAATCCTCAGAGAGATGAGTACTTGCTCAGTTCAAACCCACAGAGCCTCTGATAGAAGCGTCAGAGGTTCTGATGAGTTGACCTCTGAGAACAAGTTACTTCAAAAGTTATGGCACCTTCTGAGGTTTTGATTTTCATTTCAAAAACTCCCCCTATGAGCCAGCTTCCATGGCTCCCCCTCGAACTAAAAACCATTTAAAATCCTAAGAAGTATCGACAGAGGATCCGTTCAAAGAGCCTCTGAGAACTATCACAGAGGATCTGTGAAAAGACTTCTGTGATGAAAAACATTTTTCTTCTTCAAAAGGTTTTATTATTTTTAAGCACACACTCCCCCTCAAACCTTGCAAGTCTCTGCAAGATAAACTTGTTAACTATGAAATCAAGAGAAGGTTTATCAAGAAATTAAAACTATAAACAGAATGAAATTTAAAAGAAAAGATATATACAGAAGAATGAAATTAATAAAAGAGAAAACAACTTTATAAAAAAAGAATAAATAAATGAGACATTCAACAACTAGAACTCTGGACATGTCATTCCTATTTTCTCAACAAGGAAATTAAACCTTTTCTCATCAAGGGCTTT